ACGGTTTTTCCCCCCCAAAGAAAGTGGCGGCGATTTTCTCCTCGTCTGAGCCACGCACCCCATCTGGCGCTCCGCAACCTAAAGACATAAGTACACGCACGCACACATGCTCACAAATCCACACACACACTTGCAAATACACACACACACACAGACGGACGGGCGGGACACAGCCAGTATGGTCTGGTGCTCGACTCTGGCGGCGGCGGGACGGAGGACGACGGTGGTGTGAGGCATTTTAACCACATCAAACTGGGGGGCCCTGCAGAAGCCTTGAAACGCGCGCGCGCCCTAACACACACACACACTCTCACTCCCTCGCCCTTGCACACATTCACACATACTCACTCGAACGCACACACGCACACCACGCTGTGGGCCAATGCGGAGAATCAAGGGCGTCCTGGTGCCCGCCTGACGTTCACACGTCACACGTCAGTCGGCCGCGACGTGGCGATGAATTATTCGGGCCTTAAGCGCGGAGACGAGTCTGAGGACGCGGTGGTGCTGCATCTCCCGGGTCCGGCCCGCCACGGTCGTTTGCCGAGGACGCGACGAGGACAACGTTTTCAAAAGGATTGGGTTCAAATACCGTGCCGCCGTTTTACTCTTCTTTTTGCCCCACCGCCTCTTTTTCACACCGCCTGGCGTGGTGCCCATTTGCGTTGAATGGACGGCCGAATGGCCACAAATACCGTTCTGTGAATAACTCTTTGCAAGTAACGCTCTGTGAATAACACTTAACAAGTAACGCTCTGCGGATAACGCTCTGTGAATAACACTTTGCAAGTAACGCTCTGCGAATAACGCTCTGAGAATAACACTTAGCTAATAACGTTCTGTGAAGAATGCTCTGCAAATAGCGCTTTGTGAATAACACTTTGCAAACAACGCTTTGTAAAGAATGCCCTGCGAATAATGCTCTGTTGATAACACTCGGCGATACGCACTGCGATTATTCGACGCTCCAGGTATTCGGCGCTCCTTCTTCTCCAAATCGATTCTTCCCATTTAGCCGTAACGAGGACTCGCTCCGCGTCCTCCGCAGCGTCTGGGCGTTATAGTGGAGTGGATGAAAGTTTTTTTTTTTTTTCGTGTCCGAATTGAAGGAACTGGAACACCCGTGCAGCACTCCCCCGCTGTGCTTCCAAATGGATTCCCTGACGGCCGAGACGGGCCGCCCATTCGGACTAAACGAACTGCAGCGATAAGGGAGCGGGACGGTGAGACGGACGAAGACAGAGAGACGCCACGCGCCGGTATTCGCCGGCAGAGCCAGCGCCATCTAGCGTCCCGTCGGCCCGAGACACATCTTCATATTGATGGAAATAAGAGGATTATGTAAACTCGTTCTGGGGCCCGTGCGGGTCCCCGACGCCCTGTAGGCCTAGGCCCGCGCTAGGCACAGCCCCCCACCTGGGGGAGGTGAGGGGGGGGAGCATAGGATAAATGTGGTCACCCAGTGGGGCGCCCTGGAGGGCTCGCGGCTGCCTTCGGCTGCCCGGCCAGGCGGAGGGTGGCGTCGAAGGTGAACGCTCGCGCAAGGACACCTTCGACGCGGTGGTCCTCTAACTGTCACGATCGGGCCTCTCGGCCGCTTTGTTGACGGGTAATGGCGCCTCCAGACTGATTCCGAGAGTCGTTGTCGTCGCTCCGTCTCTCTCGCACCCTCACGGGACGCTGTGCGAGTGCGAGCGAGACAGAGCGACGAAACGGCCGTGAGGCGGCAGCGGGGCCTCCATGTCGTCGCCGCGATAAGCCTGCTCCCACCCCGTTCCTTGAATTCCCCCAGGGCTCAAGCGAGGCCAGTCGCCCCGCCAGCCAGCCCCCGACCCGCCCCCGACCAACCCCCGGCCTGCACGGTTCATTTTGCGTTTCGAATTGATTGCCAACGACAGCCCCATGGGGGGCCGCCCGCTCCAGCCACGCCCCCGAACCCCAGGGCCCACGAGCGGCCCGCTCCCGCGACCCGCCCCGCCCCGCCCCGCCCCGCCCCGTCGCTGATCCCTTTTTCGCTCCGTTTCCGCGACAAGCCGGCCTGACGGGCCGTGTCAAATAGGCTGCCACCCTCGCAGCGACACACACGCACTTTCAGGCGGACACGCACGCACACACAGACATACAATCACACACCGAAACACACACACACACACACACCGAAACACACACACACACACACACACACACACACACACACTTGCACTCGAGTCGCAGACAGACAAACACGCACGCGCTAGCTGACCGGCACACTGAAGCCATTGCGGCGTTCAATTTGTGGCGTTCCGAGTTCCCAGAACCCCTTCGGCCCTCGGACGTCGTTGCTCATCGACGTCGCCCTCGCTTCGACTCGCTTCGACTCGCTCCGACTCGCTCCCGACTCTGCCTGCCATGAATTTTAAACGGCGCTCCGCCTTCCCCTAAAGCATCGCCGTTTCCATGGCGCGGTCGTCCCCGGGGGGGCCGCCCCGGCCGAGACATTCTGAAGAGCGAGCTCTGACTCTCTCGCACGGGGAACCCCACGAGTGCGACGGAGACGGGGCGACGAAACGACTGTTCGGAGTCGCCTATCGGCAGAGCCGCTCAGCGCTGCGTAGGCGCGCGCAGTTCGAATTTGGCGCGCACACGAACACGGGCGGCGCGCTAAATAATTGACTGGCGAAGACTTGGGCGGTGTAGGTACGCGCAGCGCGCTGAGCCCTGCGCCGCCAAATTCAATTAGTCATTGTTCGATGGAGCGCGGAGCCACGGCCGTGGCCTGACTGCGTTGACGCGGCACGCACACACACGCACACACAAACACACACACACACAAACACACACACACACATACACACACACACACACGCACACACATTTACACGTCGGCCGCGGCCCGTGTCCCAACGGCGGAGTGGGCTTTATTACGGAAATCAATAATGGACAGAGAGAGGGATGGAGGAGGAAAGATGAAAATGAAAGGGAAGCTACTACTCGCGCGGTGACGTCAGCAGGTCAGCCACCTCACTGCTGCGTCGCTGTCCTACTTGGCAGCCCCCACCGCAATCACCCGAGTGCAGTGGCGCTGCGCACGGCGTGGCATGGGGCACAATGGGCCAGAAGACCGGTGAGGCCGGCAAAATTCTTGACGCGTTTTGAGCTCCAGAGTCGCTAAAATGACACTCGATCTAAACGTGTGACACCACCAATGGATTTCTTGTTCGAAGAGTGCTTGAAAAGAGTATACTCTAATTTCAGTCAATCTTGGTCCTTACAGTAACGCAGCCACATAAGACTGTCCATACCATTGTTCCATTTCAACCCCCGGCTTGACTCTGGAAGAGTGGTTTTACCAGTGAGGACTGGGCCACTTTGCGTCTCTCGCTCCGCCCTCCTCCGCGCGTAGCAAGATGTTTAGTACCGGTGACTTCTCCCCCCCCCCCTCTCTCTCTCTCTGCTTCCTGTTGTTTCTCATCCGGCATGACGTATGCATGCAGCGGGGCGACATCGGCGGAGGGCGACGGAGCGCGACTCGCGTCCATATTTCGCTGTATCTCGCTCGCTGCCCCGCCCGCAGTATTTCCTACCCACATCGGCTGCGCCGTGTCGCTCCCACACGGAAAAAAATATCTTAGTTGTTACAGCTGAGCATTCGTTGTGACAGCTAATGTGTTAGCTGATATGGCGCCAGCTAATGTTCTCAGCTACCGCAGTCATTATCTTAGCTATAAAACATAACCCTCATTGCCGTGGCTACAAATTTTAAATTAGCTAAGGCAGACAGTAGGAGGTTCAGCTATGAAAACCATGATGCTTTTGCTACCGCAACTGATAGTGTTTGCCGTGAGAGCCACTCCCACGTTTACTGATCCAGCGTGGGGTTCTTAGCTGAGACAACTAATGGGGTTAGCTGCACGCGCAAATCATGCAGTCCCTCAAAGCTTTACTTCAACTGCGATCAAAGTTGCGAAGTATTTTTTTCGGCCCTCCACCCGGAGTGACATTGGGGCAGGCCATACGACACACACATGTGCTTCCGTGGCTCAGTGCCTCCGAGCACGGTTCTCAGCCAGTAGTCCCGGGTTCTATTCCCGTCTCAGTATTTTTCGGAGAGTAAAAAATTTATTAGCGTTTGTAACTGAGGGATTAGCTAGCACAACAAATGTGGTTGGCTGTCGCGACCAGGCATGATTGCTGATGCTGCTAGCAATATTTTTAGTTACCACGACTGCTGATTCTTGGCTGGCCCCATATCAGCCAATGCATTAGCTGTCACAACTAAGGGATTTTTTTCCGTGCACGCCAGGCCAAGCCGCTCCGCAGGGCGCTACGCTGCTTTCGCCCTGCACTCTTCCGAGTGTGAGGGGCGGCGCCGTGGTGGCACTGGCACGGCCACGCCTGCTTCCTGCCCCCCCCCCCCCCCCTTCCCGCCACACCACGCCGACTGACTCCGAATAGCAGCGCTTGGCCGCTCCGTCTCTCTCCCACCAGTGCGGACCGCCCAGCGAGTGCGAGAGAGACAGA